GCCACAGACGCCCCCAATGGAGACCTCACGCCCGAGATGATCCTCAGCATGATGGACCGGTGATGGCGGGGCCTTGCTCATCACCAGGACTGCTCTGGGCTGTGTTTAAACGGCCCACATCTTAATTTTTCTCCCTTTCTTCTTTAGGCTTTGGGAAAAGCATCATTTTACCAAACATACTGAGAACGAAAACTTCAAGGATGATGTTAGAAAAATATGATTTAACTAGACTTGCTGTTTGATATTAGCAAATCATGGAATGTTCCGAGTCCCTGAGGGTTTACTGTGAAGTGCTGAGGACAGTGTTGACGCCTAACTAGTTTCTTAGATGGAAACAGAGACATTGACCCCTCTCTCTTGATATGGTAAACCACTCCAGAATGGCCTCCGGGTTTCCCAGAGTTCTATGGTCTTCTTCCCAAGAGAGTTTTTAATTGTAAATGCAGACTTGGGGAGGATTTAGACTTTTAAACTGTTTTTTGCTTTTGCTTTTCCCTGACTCCCGTTGCTTGGAGTCAGCTGCACACCAGTAGTACAGCATGCTACGATCGGTTTCTGTGCTGAAAGCTTTGCCTCTTTCTTGGCAAAGTTTATGGTATGGTCAAGCTTGTAAATAACTTTTTTTACATTTTAATCTTTTCCATTAATTAAGAGATTGAAAAGAAGTGCAGTGTAAGAAAACCCAGCATTTTAATTACTTGCAAATTAAGTTACCACAGACTCTGTAGTATGTAAATGTTGACAAGGAATTGAATCACAATCATGTAGCAGAATGCCACCCAGACTGCTGCCCGCTAGTGACAGACGCCCACATGGAAGACCGTGATTTCCAGCCCATGGAGCCAGCATTTGAACCTGTACAATTAACTTTCAGTTATGATTTTCCATCGACATTTTCTGTGCTCTGTTTGTAGCTGAATGTTGTTTTTTATAAATCTTCTGTTAGAGCAGAAGGGTGATTATGAGGGGGTCACAGCAGCCCTTCCAAGCTGGGCCAGAAAATTTCACTTGGTCAGTAATTTGAACTTTGGATCTTCAAAAAAGTAATGTGAAGCAAAACCGACTAAAAAGTGATTCTTGCACATGAACTGTCACATGTTTAAAATGTGTTTTTTAGACAGCCTCAGTCTTACTGATTTCAAACACTTTTTTCTTCTGTGTATTGCTTTTAAGAGAGCCATCAGTTAGCTATCAGACTCTAGGTTGATGCATTTTGTACTTAGCTGTACTGTGTGATATTTTTCATTATTTTAGGATGCCAACATGAGACCTGTAATAAAATATGTAATGGGGTTGAAAGCTGGGGAGGAGGATCTACTGCTGTACAGCTAATAAATCATAACGGATTAACAAGTGCTCCAAAGATTCCATCTTGTGTGATTCCTGCCTACTGGGGGGCCCAGAGGGGCCTGTGTGGTGGCTCCAGGCTACGTAGGCTTCTACCTATCTCTGTTTGCGGATGGCACTTCCTCTCTAGCAGACAGGAGGAGATGATCTCGGCAGATGACAGGATGCTGAGTGCATCCTGCTGCAAGTCTTAACTCCCCAGAAGTGTGTTAAGAGAGAGGAGAGTGGACAGACAGCTACCAGCCTCCGTGACCCACTGTGGCGGGGGGGCCCATTCACAGAGTAGATGGGCCACAGAACTGCTTAGAGCAGAAGGGGCTGATGGGAAGCTCTGTCGTTAGGGTCTCGGCTCCAGGAGGTCTGGGATCAGTATCTGGAGTTCTGCCAGGTGCAGGAGAGGAAAACCCTAGAGAGGTTCACTTGAACGGGGAGACGGATGCACAACGGGGCTGTAGGGAGAGACTTCTCTGAAGTATAACTGCTCATTAGCGTCACAGGGAGATGGATAGAAAGGGAGTCGTATCATGTCAGGAGGCTTATGCATTAGTCAAAAGTCATCTTGTTGCTGCCGGTCATTTCTGAGTAGGTTGCTTTGGGAAACCCATGTTAGGTGAAAGCTTCAGCCAGTATTTTAGGGTTTTTAACCAAAATTCCAATTTGCCAGTTTTCAGTGAGAAGTAACAAAGGATAGACGCGTGTAGCTTTTGGCTGGCTTGTGCTGTCCATGCAGTCGGGTCTACCAGGTAAATATAACCCGGGGCCTCCTGGGGCTCAGGACTCAGCCAGGCAGCCACCTCCCTGGACTGAATGTTAGTGATCTCAGACTATTGAAGCATGAGGTCTCTATCCCATCTATCGGCTAGCCCCGCAAGGAGGCCAGTGTGCCCCCTACCAGATTGTTTCTGTGAGCACATAGTTTTTTTTAAAGTCACAGTATTTATAATAGAAAATCTCCTTACAAAGCAGTGAGGCTAAGTTTATCTGTATCTTCAGCATAGCTTGTCATTCATTTCTCTACCTATTCAAATTATTTGCAAGTCAAATGATTTGTTTTGGCTGGGGAGGGGGCAAGAGAAGTGACATTCTAATGGAGTTAAGGCATAGCTCATGATACATCCTGTGTGACTCCAATAAATATATAACCTTCAGAAGAAGCCCGTTCTCCCCCATGATTATTTCACTTGAGAGAACTTTTGATGGGGAAGTTCCTGTCTGCAGCTCCCTTCCTCAGTTCAGTGTTCAACCATAGTTGGTACTGGAGTAAAATAATTGTGTTATAACACCAAGGTCAAGGGTTTGGATACCAGCCAGCCACTAAAAAAAAAAAAATTCCCTTGCCCACATCTGGGCTGGCATTACCCCTGTCCGCTACTGCCCAACTCAGCAAGCGCTTGCATCCTCCTCTTGCTTTTGGTCAGGATCCTGTCTTTTAAAACTGTCTTGCGGTAAGCCTTGTGGCAGCACCGGGAGGTGCAGGTCGGCCACGCATCCTCACCCTCTGCTACTCAGGGCAGGCGGGGCTGATTCATCGAGAGCCTTAGCACTTCCTGAGCGCCCGTGGAGTACATGCTGTGCAGAACACAGACAGGCTTGAACAAGCTGAAGGCCCCTCACTGAATCACTGTCACTCGTAGGAGCCGAGTCCCATGTGTTCACTTGGTCTCTGGTATCAGGTGTGTTTTGTCACTTCTGCTCTGACCACCAGCAGTTCTGTGGCTAGCCCCCACGACTGTCCTGGTCTCCATGCTGACCCTGGCTTCCTCGGCAGCCCCTCCCTGCCCCAAGCACACACTGGGCATGGGGAGCTGCCCCCACCAAGTGCTGCAGCTGGCCTCTGAGGCCCCGCCTGGGGAGCAGCTCCAGCCCTTTGGCAGCCACTCCCTCTTGAATCTCTCCTTGTCATTCTACACAGAAAAATCCCAGTGAGGTAGGTTTTCTATCGTTCTGCTGGAGTCCCAGGGTTGCCATGGAAGACTTGGCAAGTGTCAGTGTTCACTGAGTGACAGGTACTGTCATGAGCACTTCTCTTAATAAGCATTTAATCCTTAGAGCAACACTTAGAGGTCGGTTAATAACTCCAGCTTACAAAAAAGGAACTGGAAGACCAAACAGGCTAAGTATCTTGTTCAGTGTCAAAATTCAGGCAGCCTGCCTCCAGGACCTGCATTCTTGGCCACTTGGCCATACTGTGCATGAGACCTACTGAGTTGTCACCCTAAAAGCAGTTTGTGGGTTCTATGTGGTCTTAGAGTCTTAGGTCCTAATCTGAACCCCCTCCTTTCATCTTTTCAATCTGGAGGCAGCAAGACCTCTTGCCTCTCTGCAGGAACTCTGTATGCAGCATCCTCTCCAGCCAAGTCCTCTCCTGTCATCCCTTAGCTGTCACACCATGCACCTGTTGCTTCAGTGTTGCTTCAAGTTGCTACTATTTGGTTTCTACTTCCCACCTTGTCCCAGTTTTTGGTGGACCTCAGCAAGTGGGAACTGAGATTTTGTTTGGGAGGAGGGGATGAGATGACTGCAGGATGTCTCCAAGCCCCAAGCCAGGAGGGGTAGCTAAAGAGGGGGAAAGTCAAGGACCACTGCCCAGTATGTGGTCTTTCCTACTCTCGGGTCATTTCACCTCTGCCTGGCCAAGCTGTAGGCAGGGGTAGAAGGCTGTTCCTTATGTGGTTTAATTAAATTGAAATGGAGTAAAAAAAATGTAATCCCTTTCAGTAAACCCTCCAGAATCTAGGTCCCTGGTCTTCCCTCACCCCACGACTTGTCGACCCCTCCCAGCCCTGGAGACACTAGCTTCCCTCTCTGCCAGTGGCTCCTCCTCCCTAAACTCCAGCCTGAGGAAAATACAGAAAGTCAGGAGGACCCCTGTGTACCAGCCATTGCTCAGGAGTCACTCCAGCCCTCCCTGAGTTCTTTGGGGTTCAGGCCTTACCTTAGCCTGAGGCTGCCCGCTGAGGGCCCCTGGTACACCCCCACCTTCCAGTCCTAACCCAGCCTAAATCTGATGAAAGCCGAGGACCCTCTACCGCAGAGAAGGGCGTCTGACCCCATCCGGTGTTTTTTCCGCCCTTTCAAAAGTTCGTGGATTCTCGACGGGGTCACCGATCCAGGTTAGGAACAACAGCGCAGGACCCTGGGTGTTGGGAGAGATCGGGCGCTCCGTGCTGGACAGACTCCCCTTCTGCCGGGCTCCTGGTCCACCTCCCAGCCTGGGCTTTGGAGGGGACGAAGCAGGGTGGGCCGCAGTGATCCCCGGGAGGGCAGCGCCCCCTGCTGTTCACGGCAGGGACTGCGGGGCGGGGTGGAAGTAGAGGGCGAGGAACCACAGGAGGCAAGCGACACGCACGACCCTCCCGGCCATTCCACTTTCCACCCCCGTGTCTACCCTGACGGAGAGGCTCCTGCCCGACGGGGCGGGCGGGCCGCTGTGACTCGGCCCCCCTCCCACAACCCTGTACCCGAGCGGCTCTCCGGCGCGGGGAGGGGCCGGGCCTGGGGCGGCCTGGCAGGAAGCGGCGCGTACCTTCCGCTGCAGGAGGAGCAGGTGGCTGCAGTGAGGCCCGGGCCCCAGGCTTCGGCTTCCTGTGTGCGCGCCCGCCCGCTTTTGCTTCCCGCCGGAGCTCCTTGGGCCGCCCAGCCGGCGCGGCCCCATGGCCCAGACCCCCGACGGCATATCCTGTGAGCTGCGAGGTAAGCGCTGCCTTTCCTGCCTACTTGGCTCAGAGGAAGCAGCGCGGCCCCCAAACCAGAGACCACCTAGCGCCCCCGGGGTCTGGCCAGAGGCTCCCCCTGCTCCTCCGTAGGGCTGGCTTCCCCAGATCCACTCCACTCCTGCCTTGCTGGCCCGTAGATGAGCCCCAGGCCCCCAGCCTGCTACAGACCGTGGGCACAGTGGCCTCCGTGGGAGGACCAGTTATCCAGCAGGCTGCCCTTCCACAGGCGAGATCACCAGGTTCCTGTGGCCCAAGGAGGCGGAGCTGCTGCTGAAAACCTGGCTACCCCAGGAGGGTGCTGAGCGAAGTCATATCCTGGTATGGTGGGGCAGGCAGCAGAGCCTGGGAGAGTGGCCAGGGCCAGCAGAGGCTGTTGCCTGCCCGGAATACCAGTTTTTGTCCCCCCTCTCCCAGGCGCTGCTACGATGGAGAGCCTACCTGCTCCACACCTGCCTGCCCCTGAGGGTGAGACCCAGGGCCTGGCCACCACCCCTTTTGCCCTCAGCAGCTGCCTTGGCAATAGGCTTTATCTACAGTTATCTGTCTTGTCCTTGTGGGCTCTGACTTTCCAGCAGCCCTGGGCTCCCAGCAGCAGACAGGAGTGGATTCGGGCGGGTGTGGCCCTGGGCTCCAGGTTGCACAAAGGACTGGGCTCCCATGAGGGTAGGGTTCGGGCTTAGTCCCAACTGATCCAGGTGTTCCCTAGGTGGACTGCACGTTCAGCTACCTGGAAGTCCAGGCCATGGCACTGCAGGAAACACCCCCTCAGGTGAGACATCTAGTACCCCACCTGGGCTAGCAGCCTGTCTTCATTCCATCCTCAATGCCCCCACACATGGAACCGAGGCTCAGCAGCCCTCCCTCCCCAGGTCACCTTTGAGCTGGAGTCCCTGCCCAAACTGGTCCTGGAGTTTCCTGGTGTGGCTGCCTTGGAGCAGCTGGCCCAGCATGTGGCTGCAGCCATAAAGAAGGTCTTCCCTCGCTCGACGCTTGGGTGAGGCCTGGCAACTGCAAGGGGCTGGCAGGGGAGGAGGGCAGCTGGGGGTGCTCCAGATGAGCACGAATTAGCTGCTTCACAGCCCAGGGGCTAGCAGTCCCTTGTCCCCTTCTCCACCCCAGGAAGCTATTTCGGAAGCCCACGCCCCCCTCAATGTTGGCTCGGCTGGAGAGAAGCAGCCCCTCAAAGTCCACTGCATCCAGCACCCCCTGTGGTGAGGGCCAAGGCAGAGCCACACAGACCTTGCAGCCCACTCCCACCCTGCAGCCCCAGGCCCCTGGAGTTGGGGGCTCCCACACTGAACAGTCAGTTGGATCACAACCACCGCCCAGCCTGGGTCTGTTCTTCCTCTATGTCTGAGCTTTTGTCTCTCTCTTCCCTCTGTCATACACCTGGCACCACCTCAGGTGGCTTCTTGGAGACATACGAGGCTCTGTGTGATTACAATGGCTTCCCTTTCCGAGAGGAGATTCAGTGGGTGAGAATAGAGTCCTCTCCGGGGGGCTCTGGAGACAGCTGGTCTCCCATCTGTGGTGCACCCCTCCTTACCCTTTGTGGCCCCAAACAAGTTGTAGATACTTTCTTCCCATCCAGGATGTGGACACCATCTACCATCGACAGGGCTGCCGCCATTTCAGCCTGGGAGACTTCAGCCACCTTGGCAGTCGGTGCGTGGCCCACCAAGAATGGGAGGAGAGGAAGATTCCAGGACCTGTATTCCTGGGCCTCAGTCTCTCCATGGAGGGGATACTGGGGCCTGGGATCTGGCTGGAGGGCCCTGAGCTCTGCCCCTTCCCCTTCCCCCGACCAGGGACCTGGCCTTGAGTGTAGCTGCTCTGTCCTACAACCTGTGGTTCCGGTGCCTCTCCTGTGTGGACATGAAGCTGGTGAGGGGGCAGGGCCAGAGAGGCCAAGGGTATGGGCCCAGGGAGCAGCCGCTGAGCCTCAGCCCTCTGCTTCTCAGAGCCTTGAGGTCTCAGAACAGATTCTGCACATGATGAGCCAGTCGTCCTACCTGGAGGAGCTGGTGCTGGAGACCTGTGGCCTCAGGGGGTGAGAGGGACAGGGTAGGATGTGGGGCAGAGAGTCTGGGGACTTGGAGGCTAGTAGCCTGGGGAGGCCGGGTCAGATTCTCATACCTGTGGTCTGGTCCCCAGAGACTTTGTCCGGCGACTGGCCCAGGCACTAGCAGGACACTCGAGCTCCGGGCTGCGGGAGCTCAGCCTGGCAGGGAACCTGCTGGATGACAGAGGTATGGCTGAGCCCAGGGAACACAGGGCTGGTGGCTGGAGGTGAGACTCACCCAGCTGCCTCCATCCCCCAGGTGTGGCTGCGCTCAGCAGACACCTAGAGCATCGTCCAGGAGCCCTGAGGAGACTCAGCCTAGCGCAGACAGGGTTGACTCCGCGAGGTAGGTGGGGAGGGGGCAGGGATGGAGGGTAGATCTGCCTGATTGCTGAGCCACCCTCTCCACCACCACCAGGAATGAGGGCTCTGGGCCGGGCACTAGCCACCAATGCTGCTTTCAATTCTGCCCTGACCCACCTGGACCTTTCTGGGAACCCCGGGGCTCTGGGGGCCTCCGAGGACAGTGGGGTGAGTGGCTGTCCTCAGGTTGGGGATTGGAGTGTTGTCTCAGGTAGTGGGATGTGGGAAGCCTCCAGGTAGCACACCTGACTCCCTCCCACCCCCTCTCGCAGGGCCTCTATAGTTTCCTGAGCCGGCCTAATGTTCTGTCCTTCCTGAACCTTGCAGACACTGACACTGCTCTGGACACTGTGAGGGGGTGATCAGTGGGGGTGGGCGGATGGCCGCAGGGCTCGGTAACCTGAGCAGGGTAGACTGGAGGGCAGGGCGGGGGCGGGGAGGGCTCGGAGGTCCTCCGCGGGTGTAGCCGACACCCTCGTCCTGCAGCTCTTCGCAGCGCTGTCCAGCGGCTGCTGCGCTAGCCTCGCCCACCTGGACGCCTCAAGGAATGTCTTCTCCCGCACGTAAGGGGGTTCTGTCGGGGCGGGGGAGGCTGTCGAGAGCCGCCTCCCTTTGTGCCTAAGCCCACTTCTCCCGTCCTCACCCCACCCAGCAGGAAGTCCCGGGCCACGCCGCCGGCTGCGCTGCAGCTCTTCCTCAGCCGCGCAGGGACGCTGCGGCACCTGGGCCTGGCGGGCTGCAAGCTGCCGCCTGACGCGCTCAGGTCAGTGTCGCTGCCCACGGCCACGCCCCCGCGTGTGCGGCCACCACTCTGGCCAGGCCTCCAGCGTCTCACCCCGCTCCGATTGCACCCCAAATCCACCCTGCGTCCTGGCCCTGCCTTCTTGGTATTCGTTTGCACTCTGAGGTCCCCTTCCCCAGCTCCCACCTGTGACACCCTCTCCCAGGGCCCTTTTAGATGGTCTGGCGCTCAACACGCACATCCACGACCTGCATCTGGACCTCAGTGCTTGTGAGGTGAGCGCCCAGCCCCGAGATGGGAGTGCGCGGTGGGCCCACACGTTGGGAGTGGGGCTGGGAGGCGGCAAAGCCAGGCTGTTGGCCGCCTGCCCCTGCACCCATGGCCTGAGCGCCCCCACCTCCCACCTCCAGCTGCGCTCAGCAGGCGCCCAGGTGATACAAGATTTAGTGTGCGACGTGGGCGCCCTGAGCTCCCTGGATCTGGCAGATAACGGTGAGACCACCCGGAACCCATCCTCCCATCCTCCACCCCATTCCCAACCTCCACCCTACCCCCGCGTGACCCGAGTCACCCCCAGGCTTCGGCTCAGACATGGTGACTCTGGTCCTGGCCATTGGGAGGAGCCGGTCCCTGAGACATGTGGCGCTTGGAAGGAACTTCAACGTCCGGTGCAAGTGAGCCCCCACCCCAGTCCTGGACCTCCCCAACAGCATCCCACTACCCCGGTCTCCCCCAACCACAGCCCCTGCCCACAGGGAGACCCTGGACGACGTCCTGCACCGGATTGTTCAGCTCATGCAGGACGACGACTGTGTGAGTTCACCAGACCTTGCAGGGTCCTCAAGCAATAGACCCCATTGACCATTCCAACTCTTGCTCCCTCAGACCTCAGACCCTGTGACCTGCCCTCTTTGCTGACCCCTGGCTCCAACCATCAGTGGCTTTCTCTTAACTCCAGCCTCTGCAGTCTCTGTCCGTGGCCGAGTCGCGGCTGAAGCTGGGCGCCAGCGTCCTGCTCCGGGCCCTGGGCACCAATCCTAACCTGACAGCGCTGGATATCAGCGGCAACGCCATGGGGGACGCGGGCGCCAAGATGCTGGCCAAGGCGCTGCGGGTCAACACGCGGCTCCGGTGGGCGTGGTCAGGGCGGGGCTATGGGCGGAGGGGCGTGGTGGGAGGAGAATACCAGGCTAAGGGGCGGGGCCGAATGAGGTGGAGCAAATGGAGCAGGCTGGTGGGCGAGGGGAATGGAGAAGGCTAGCGGGGTGGGCAGGGCCTTGCAGAGCTCCGCCCCCGACTGAAGCCCAGCCCGGTCCAGGTCTGTGGTCTGGGACCGGAACCACACATCTGCTCTGGGACTGCTGGACGTGGCGCAGGCTCTGGAGCAGAACCACAGCCTAAAGGCCATGCCTGTGCCACTGAACGACGTGGCACAGGCGCAGCGGAGCCGCCCGGAATTGACAGCACGTGCAGTCCATCAGGTGGGAGTTCTCTCTCCTCCCCTGCCTTTCTATGCACCGTGGCTCCGCCTCCCGCCATTTCTCAATATCCCTTGCCCCCAGATCCAAGCTTGTCTCTTGAGGAACAATCGCGCGGACCCCGCCTCTTCTGAGCGCGCGTCCCGCCTTCAGCCTCTGGGTCTGGTCTCAGACCCCTCGGATCAGGTCAGTGTCCCCTCCCCCAACCTCGAGTACCCACGGTAGGTAGGGGGAGGGAGAGCTGTGGCACTTGGGAGACTTTCCTGGGGCCAGGGTGCCTGAGTCCTGCTGTCCCAGACGAGTCCCTCTCTTTGGTCTGGAGATAGCCACCAGCTCCTGAAATAGCTCCCCAAATAACATTCCTGTCCGGCTTACTTTAAGCATGTAAGCAGGCTTTCCTGTCAAAGGTGGGAAGTGTTTAAAAATCCTTCCTCAATTTCCCGCTGATTGTAGCCCCATCTCTGGCCTCTCATTCACAGGGCTCTCCTCCCTTCTCCTCTCCACTGATCTCTGTGTGGCCAAAGCCAACAGCCTCTTCTCTGCTTCATCTCACTCCACTACACTATCTTTTCAAGATACTCCACCTCTCCATTCCCACATCCCACTTCTCTTTTAAGCTCCAGAGCCCAGACATCTTGATCCAGACATCCTGTAGCGCTTCATGCTCTACACATCTTCAAGTGATCTCATCGTCTCTGTCTGTTCTCTATCCTGGAGCCCAATCTTATTGGTGCCCACAACCACAAATAGATAGAGGAGATCTCTCCTGGCCACGTTGGAGCCCTCACGGATGTCCTTGTCGTGCCTCTGAACCAACTCTCATGCCACTTCTCACCCCCATCCCAAATAGCTGCTGTTCCCTGGTCCTTCCTCCATGGCTCCTCACTACCATTTCTCACCTCCCCCCAGTTTACCTTCTATGTGGACGGTGGACAGAATGAGCTTCTAAAACAGACATGACTAACAGTCCCTTTCCTTCCTATTCTGGGCACTTAGGAAGTAGTCAGCCCTTCATATCCTTGGACATCTGTAGATTCAACCAACTTCAGGTGGAAAATGTTCAGAAAAAAATCGCATCTGTACTGACCATGTACAGATTTTTTTTCTTGTCATTATTCCCTAAGCAACACAGTATAACAACTATTCACACAGCATTTACCTTGTATTAGGTATTATAAGTAATCTAGGGATGATTTAAAATATACAGGAGGATGTGCATAGGTTATATGCAAATACTATGCCATTTTATATCAGGGACCTGAGCATCTGAAGATTTTGGTATCTGCAGGAGGTCCTGGAACCAATTCCTCATGGGTACCAAGGGATGACTGTGTATATAAAGTCCCTAAAATGAACCAAAGAAAAAGATACTGCTTTCCCTCCTTGAACAGATATGGTTACTATGTGGCTGGCCTGATGGTGCCAGCTTTGAGACCTCACCCACCCTTTTGGAGACTCTGGGAGGGAGGCAGGCAGGCTCTGAGAGACTGAGAACGGACTAAGTTGGGACTGATCCCTGATTCCCTCCAGGAAGTGAATGAACTGTGTCAGTCAGTGCAGGAGCATGTGGAGCTGCTGGGCTGTGGGGCTGGGCCCCAGGGTGAAGCTGCTGTGCACCAGGCTGAGGATGCCATCCAGAACGCCAACTTCTTTCTCAGCGTGAGCATTCCCTCTCCTGCTATGAGGATCCTTCCCCTCTTAGTCAGGTGTCATCTTGCAACTCCTTTTCTTCCTTGGCCTTCAGATTCTCCCCATTCTAAATGAGGCTGGGAGTTCCCCGAGCCATCACTGGCAGCTGCAGCAGAAGCTAGAGGGCCTCCTGGGACAGGTGGGCGAGGTCTGCCGCCAGGACATCCAGGTGAGATGGTATTCCTGCCCCAGCCCCATCTCCAAATACAGGCTTGACCCACATCCTATAGGCTTGACTATCCCCTGGGTCAATATTCTGTTGAGCCTCAAGCCAAGCGGCCTGCACCTTAGCCATGCCTCATCATGCTCTGACCTTTGCCCAGGACTTCACACAGGCCACACTGGACACAACAAGGAGCCTCTGCCCAGGGATGCTGCAGGGACCTAGCTGGAGGGAGCAGCTAGAAGGGGTCCTGGTGGGCTCAAGGGGCCTCCCAGAGTTGCTCCCAGAACAGTTGCTGCATGATGTCTTCACTAGGCTCAGGTAGGCTGGATGTGGCTGGGCTGGGCAGGGCTAGGCAGAACCAACACACTAACTCCTGCCCTCTCCTGCCCTCAGGGATATACGGCTATCAGTCACAGGGACCTTGGCAGAGAGCATTGTGGCTCAGGCTCTGGCTGGTCTGAGTGCAGCCCAGGATCGGCTGGTGAGGGGAAGCTCTGCACACACTTGGACATGCACAAATGCACACACACACACACACAGTGACCTGGCCATCTGCCTTGCAGGGGATCTGTAATGCCTTCTAGGGTCATGTAGCCCAGGGCTACTTTAGGGTTCCTTTAGCATCATGGCTGAGGCCCTACCTGCCCATCTTTGGGCTGTCTGGTATTGAAGGTGGAGAGTCTGGCTCAGCAGGCAACAGCGGCAATGCCCCCTGCCCTACCGGCACTGGATGGAGGTGAGCCCAGCCCCCTTGAGCCTGGGGAATTGGAAGGTCTTTTCTGCCCTGAGGAAGAGAAAAAAGAGGAGGAGGAGGAGGAGAAAGAGAAAGAGGAGAAGGTAAGTGGTCCGAGAGAATTCCAAATCCTCCCATCTTGCTCTGGAGTGTGGAAGGTGAGAGGCAGCTCTTCTGGGGTTGTGCTCCCCCACCCCAGGTTAAATTTGTGCCCTCCCCAACAGAATGACAGTTCTACACAGAAATGGACTGAACTCAGCCACTTTCACCTGATTCCCTCCACTCACAGTAAGTCAGGGCCTTGGGGTGAGGGAGTTTACCCAGGTGGGCTGAAGCCCTATTAGACCTGGGGTCCTGGCACCCAGACACACTCATTCAGCTCTGTCCCGGTACTTTACGCCCTAACTCCTGACTGGGCCAGGCCAGGACCCCCGTGCAACCTGTGAAGCTGGGCTCTGCTATGGCCAGTACGGAACGGGACCTGAGCCGACCACAGCCAGGACAATCTTCACTCGCCTTCCCCCACTCCTTTCCCTACCCCCAGGACGCGCATGCTTGGCGGCGGTGCGGGGCCGCGCGCGCTCTTGGCCGCGCTCAGCACCACGGACAGCGGCGGCGGGGGAGGGGCGGGTGGTGTAGCCCGGCCCTCGCGCTTTCTATTGGCCTATTTCTCCCATTTGGAATGGGAATATGTACCCTGTGTTTGTCCCACCATTGTATCTGGGAAGTAGATAACTTGTACTGATTTCACAGATGGGACTTTGAGCTTTGGACTCTTGAGTTGAAACAAG